TTGCCTCTCTTCTAGCCCAGTAAGCATAAAATTGGGAAAAGCTATTTATGAATAAGGTCATAAAAGGCTTTTTTCAGAAAGTCTTTTGTAAAAGCGTAATTTAGCAAACCTTTCCCTACAAGATTGCCTTAAGCAGAGAAACTAAAGTTAAAACATAATTCTATACACACATTCTGTTCAAGTGACATATAGATTGAAAATGTCCATGTCAGAAGCTGATGCAAAACAGCTGCTTACTGCCTTGCAAAGCAGGATCTTATTTGTAAGGTAGTGTCTGTTCTCAGCCCTAACTTTCCCCCTCTTCCTTCCCCTAGAAACATTCCTGAAGTGGAAAAAAAAATCTGAATGTCTTCTCTTACTATAATAAGTAAAGCCAATTAAATTACTATTTAATTTTTTTTTCAAATACAGCCTTTTACAAAATCATACTAAGTTTACATTAAACCACTCCTCCTGGGTTTTCTTTTCTTTTTATTTATTCTGACATTGTCTTCCAAGATGTGTTTATTTTTTTGGCCTTAATTTGCTTAAGAATGAAATATGTCTGCCTTCATCATATTTTGGGCATTTCTCGGGCATGTTTTTCTCTAGGCAGCTTTCAAACTCAGCACATAACAGCAGTATTTGAATTTGTGTTTTTAAAATGTAATACTATGTACATAGTATGCTAAATGTGTATTACAGACACTGTAATTTGCTGGTTGCTTTTCCAAAGCTAGATGCAGTTTCTAGTCATTTAAAACTGGAACTTTGTCTTAGTTCTGACTTTAAAAAGCTGTGGTATGATTTGCAGGTACTCCCCAGAGCAGCTTGCAGGACAGAGAATCAGCGTGTTCTCATATGGCTCTGGTTTTGCTGCTACCCTGTACTCCATCAGGGTCACACAGGATGCCACTCCTGGTGAGTGACTGGAGGTGATGTCATCTGCCTCTCTTGCTCAGCTCCCTCTTGCTGCCTTGTTGCACAACCCACTAGCATAAGGAAACCTGCAGGGCAGTGCCTTAATGACAGCAGTGCCACACTGGGAATGTCCAGCTCCAGGGAGTATTTCAGTGTCTCCTTGAACAAATAAATAATGGTCTTCAAACTCTGTTAAATGTTTTAAGTTGGTAATTGGGAATATTTTAAATGACTAATACTTGAGATTATATAATGCAAAGTACTTTGAATGGGCTTGAAATATTCACATACCAGTGTGCAGTTCTCAGTACTGACTTTACCCTACCTGGATGGTTCTATATTGCAGGTTCTGCACTGGACAAAATAACTGCCAGCCTTTCTGATCTCAAAACAAGACTTGACTCAAGAAAATGTATTGCACCTGATGTCTTTGCTGAAAACATGAAGCTCAGACAGGAAACACATCATTTGGGTAAGAACCTAATAAATACCAGTCCTTCCTAGTCCTTGAGCAAATTGCTTATCACTTAATCTGCCAAACTTTAAATTATAAGGACACAGAATGAAGGAAATGTCAAGCCCTTTCTGCTTCTAAGTAGCTTGTGTTCATTATGCCCAGCATGTCCAAAGTAAAAATGGTGGCTTGTTTTTTTCTGTCTCAGTGCATCCAGTCTGCAAAGACTGTGTTGGGTAAAACTCTTACCAGGAAACAGCTAACAATGTGTTCCTCCCTTTCTTGCAGCCAATTATATTCCGCAGTGTTCAGTCGAGGATCTCTTTGAAGGAACATGGTACCTTGTGCGTGTGGATGAAAAACACAGGAGAACTTACGCCCGACGCCCACTCATGAGTGATGGACCTCTGGAAGCAAGAGTTGGAGTTGTCCATCCAGGCATTGTTCATGAGGTGAACACTCGGCACTCTTTTAAAGTTTGATGTAAATGGTGGAACCATTTACATGTTTGTCTTAGCATGTGCATGTATGTTAAGGGGAAGTGGTTTTACGAGTTACATTGAATACTTTGTTAACACATGTAACATACAAGCCAGAAGTAAAAAGTTGAAACTGCGATTTTAAAAAGTACATTTCATCATAAAAAGAACGAAATTGCACAAGAATGAAAGAGGAACAAACTGGCTCTTCTCACATGATCTGTTTGCATGAAGCATGACCAATTTGATTGACTTAAGGCCAAGCCGTCCATTGTAGCATGAATGTTGTTTGAGAGTTGGACTAGCCATGAAGTATTAATGTCTGTGAACTAGAAAACTGTATTTAATGGTTTTTTTCCCTTCTTCTTAGCACATCCCAAGCCCTGCTAAGAAAGTGCCAAGAATCCCTGCAACAACAGAATCTGAAGGCGTTACTGTCGCCATTTCCAATGGGGAGCATTAAGATACCTCTGTGAGGTGGGGAAAGAAACGAGGTGTGAGGGCAGGGTGAGAGAGAGAGAAAAAGGATTGCAGTAGCACTGAAGTTTCAGTGTACACTAGTACTTAATTGGAGCATGACAAAACTCTTTAGGCTCCTTGAAAAAAATCATCATAATATGGTGTGCTGATTTTATAATATTTTCAGAACACTAAAATCAGGAGTATATTGGAGATAGAAGGACTTGCCAGGTGCTGTGGGGATTCCTTAACATGTCTGAACTTTTTTAATTGCTGAAAAGTAGCTGTAGTCTATTACAAAGTCTTCGTACACAGAAAGGAAAAAAAAGAAAAGGAATCTTCTGCCTGCTCTTCCATGTAAAATGACTTGAAACCTACACTGTTAACTTCTACTAGTACTCAACTGCGTGCAAAATAGTCCAAGCTTTTAATGTTAGGGTTCTCAGTGCCTTGACAATAAGCAGTCAACCTTCTGAATACTGCAATTCTCTTTCACTTTATCACCTTCCCTTTCATCTCCTAGTCTGTCTCCCATCACCCCATTGCTTTGGGACAGGGACAGAATCAAGAACATTCATTGCTGGATATAGAGCCTCTCTTCCCTGTCAAAGTGACTGGATCAAGAATGGCTAGGCTGACAAGTGGTTTTCTTAGAAGAAACTCTGTGATTCACTGTGTTAGTTACTATGTAATTCCTCCTAACATCTTATGTGATTTATACCTGCATTTTAAATCACAGGAGACTGGGAGGAAAGATGAAGAAGAAGGGAGGTAGTAAATTTTTTATTCTAAAGAAAGGGGATAATTGATTTGACATCATAATAGATGGTTTAGTAGAATATCCAAGACAGCAAAATTTTCAAATAAAATTTAGAGCTATTGTGGCGCTGTTTTAATTGGCAAACAAAGGAGAGAGTGATGTTTATCATTTGTCTGGAACTCTAGCCTACTAGTTGTCTTTATATAATACTTTCCAAAAGACTCTTTGTAGCTTTGAATCTGGCTTTTTACTTTGAGGTCCTTCTCACTATTGGTAATACTGTATGAGTGGAGTCCTTTATTTTTTTCCCCCCTTCCCCAGCGTGCAAGCTAAAGCTATTAGCTTTATTATTTTGCAAGCAGTAGATAGATTTACAGTGGTTATGGGGAGTCCATTCTGGTAGATTTTTAAAGCCCAGATTGGAAATGAACTATGATATGAGCCTTTTAAGCTTGTAATATATATATATATATATATATATACATACATATGTATATATATATATTTAAGTTGAGCTAATGTACAGAATGAAGTTTCATTGAATTTATTTCTTTGCTAATTCGACAAAACTACATTATCTAATATAAAGTAGCAAAAACTTATTTCTGTTAATTACATTTTTTTGTGTGTGTGTAATGAAGTGTGTGTATTACCTGTCACTCACTAGAATTTGATAACTTGCTGTATTTGTACAGTCAAGCCTTGGTAAAATAGTTGTTTATTATAAATTGATGAATACTAATCTGTTTGTTCTGCTGAAAATGATGGAGCAATGCATGATGATGGTGTTTGCAAGTATTTTGGTTTAGGTTGCCCTCATGGAACTTAACCTTGGCACCTGTAATACAAACTGTCATGGAACAAAGTCCATTGCTGGCAGTGGACAAGCCAAGAAGTGAGCTACTGGCACAGGCCTCACAGGTCTGTGAGGCTGATCCTTTATTAAAATAAAGTTTGAGATATTTGAAACCTCTTGGAGTAGTGTTGACTTACTGGTTTTTTAGGATGGATTTCGTTTTCTTTAACAGGAAAGAGGAACCTGGCTCTGGTAAAAACCCAGAGTTGTGGGGTCACAACGTGTGTGGACATTTTGCGTCTTTCTTCTTAGTAATTCCATTACAGAAGTGGAAAAAAGAATTGCTTAGGCTGGTGTAAAACAATCTTATCAGGACCATGTTTCAAGATAATTTAAAATGCTTTTATATGGAAACTGTTTATAGTGGAGGAATTAATACCCATTTTATGAAGTTGAATTAATTACTGATTTATAAAAATTGATATTATTTACCCTCAAATTCTAAATTCTGTGAAGGAGGCTTGGTTCTTGCTTTGTACACACCTGGGCCTCACTGAGTTGTTTTCCCATGCGTGGCCTTTCAGATTCATTCCACTGTTCATTTATATGAATTATTCCCTCTAAAGTGAAATTGTTGTCTCATCAGTGTGGTAACAGATAAGGCACCCTGCCTTTAAATGTGACAGCACCAGCTGTACCTGTGTACATCTTGTGTAGAGTATCTTTCCTTAGCTAAACTCAGAGGTTCTGTCTCTTAGCTTAGGCATGTCAGCTGTCCCTGTTCAGAGAACAGCTGCCACACTTGTCCTTTGCACTGGAGTTGATGCTGTTGAAGAACTAAGCATAGAATAAATGACTAAAGCTGAAAATCAGAGCATCTGCATTTTGGTGATGCTCAGAACAACTGGAGTTGTCAGACTGTCCAGCTTTTAACTTGCAGTGATCAAGTGCCACAGTCAGCTTTGTGCAAGCTTTGGCTGCGAAAGCAGGATGGCAGGAGTGAGGACAAGCCTGTAATGCTCAGTGAATATAAGCAGATTTTGCTGCTGCTTGCATTCAGCTACTGGTAACTAGGGCTAAGGCAAGAACTTAAAACTACATGGGTTTTGGAGTATGCTTAAATCTTTATTGGAATGCAGGTGGAGTCCAAGCAGTTCCAGAGTGGCAGAATCATGCAAGCAGTGGAAGGTGTCAGAAGGGTAACTGATGGTAGCCCAACCAGTCAGGCACCCACACAGACAGGGTTAAAGTACTGAATCCTGATTTGTCTTCTGGAATCGTGACAAGTTGGGAACTCAGCCAACAACAGCTTTGATATTTCTTGAAAGGAAATAAAATGCTTTTTAAAAATTAACTTGTTAAATTTGATGAGGAAGTTCAAAAGAATTTGCAATTGATTAGATTAGTCTGGTCTCTGCTTAAATTTAGTTTCTGCAACTGTCCCAGTTTGCAGTGGTGAAGTTGTATTGAGCTTAGGTACAGCTTTCAGAAGTTAGCAGTTAGGTGCCTGTGCAGAGAATCTCCCAAGTGGGTTAAGTGCTGTAGCATGGTGTTTATTAAAAGATCCCCTCCACTCATGATCTTTTCAGTCACTGGGTTCTTGCACTGGCTATACCAAGTATATGGAGAAAGAGTCAAACAAATGCACAAGAGCTCTGTTTTTGAGTGCTTCACTGTTAATTGACAAATGCAAAGAAAATGAGGCATTTTTAGTTTATTCAAAAATTACAAAAGAACACTAAAGCTTAAGGATAAGTGAATAATCCCCTTTGTCAAATGTGCTGAGCATAAAGCCTGCAGTGCAATTTTATAAAATAGAACACAGCTTGGATGTGTGCTTAAAGCCACTGTAAGGAGTGATTCCGTTCCTTGAGTTGTCTTCTTTTGGATCTGGCTGGGACATGATAGGAACAGATTCAAGTGCCCTTTTCTTCTGTACTCTGTGCAACACGATTCTGTAGACTCCCGTTATGGAGCTGCGCGCGTCTCTTCCCCGGTTGTTCTGAATGTGCTCTTCTGTGATTCCGAGGTCTTCCAGAATATTTTTCACTTCAATTTCTTCTTCTTTTAGTGTACTGATGTCTGATAAATATTTTGGATCCAGTTTAAATGTCTGTAAAGGTTTGGGGAACTGTATTCCTTGCATCCATTCACTGTTCATAATCAGTTTGACAGAGTATCTCTTGGTTGGTACTGGCTGAAGGACTCCTTTTATCAGTTTCTGGCAGTTTTCTGAGAGGCAGGGAGGCAAAGTGTATGTCCCTTCAAGAATGCACTTTTTCAGTTTGCCTACTGTATCTGCCCGGAATGGCATGCTGCCTGTCATCATGAAGTATAAGAGGATTCCCAATGCCCAGATGTCTACATAGATGCCAATATAGTTTTCATCTCGGAAGAGTTCAGGAGCAGCATAAGGAGGAGAGCCACAGAAAGTTTTTAAAGTTTCATCTCTTTTACTTATTGTGCTGAATCCAAAATCTCCCACCTTAACACAGGTGTTACTGGCATAGAAGACATTTTCTGCTTTCAGGTCTCGGTGAATGATATTGTTGTCATGCTGTGGAAGAAGAGGAAAAGTTGGTATTGGTTTGTTCCCAGGAAAGTTCTCAATAGCTACCTCTAATTCATTTATTAGCCTGAAGGAGAAAGCGAGTTATCTTGGGCAAATTCTGAAACTGGTATTGCAATTATTAAAATTAAAATTTTGACTCAAATTTAACAATTCTCCAAGGATAGAAAACCAGTTGAGTAGGGAGAGGAGAAGGATGCTGGGATTTTTAAACACAGCACTCTCAATGTGTTAACTAATAGCAACTATTTTCACGAATGTGTGAGTGCAGTGTGACTAATCCTGCAAGACTAGACAGATTCATGTGCAAAATCTGTATTTTTTTAGGGTTCATGGCACTTGTTTTTGCAGTTACTACATGCAACTTACAGATTTAAACATTTAGTTCACTGATTGAACATTGTCACAGATAAAATAAGAAATCTGCTGTCATTACATTCTGTGATCTAATGTCCTATGAGGAACTGGTGGTGGTAGGAGAAAAGGACCACAGAGCTGGGCTTCAGAGTACTTCATGTTCCTGGACAGCCAAGTTTAGTAGGGTTCTAGTTTTAGAAATCTATAATACATACACTGTAATTTCTACTTTTTTCCCATTGGAAATGCCAGTACTCAAAATGAATTTGCTCTGCTTAGTGATAACATACCTGCTTTGGTTAAGTAAGAGTTTAGCTTCATCTCTGAAATAACTAGAAGGAATGAATGAGCACTCTCTGCCTTATCCTTTGGAGTAACATCATACAGTATCTGGAGGCAATAAAGAAACTCTTTGGCATCCTATTTCAACTTTCATCAGTAACTGCCAGGGATCCTCTGTCCTTGTGGACTGGCAGCAAGGAGAAAGGATTTATGTAGCCTGGATGTGATGGCTTAGCAAAAGTGAAATGTGCAGAAGTTTCTGTGTACAAATGAAGAGGTTGGCCAGCTTGATAGTCTATGTTTAATTCTAATAAATAAATGTGGTGTAATTTTGAAATGCAAATTCAATTCCTATAGCTGCAGGGTGCCTGTCCTTTGGATAAAACGTTGAAGCTAATCCACCACTTAAAGCACATACAGTAATTTCGTCAAAATAAATAAGAAATGCATGCTGTTTATGTAAGCCAGGAGTAGCGTGCGATGCAATCCCCAGACGTCTGACCTGGGATCACCCTTGTTTCTGACTTCGCCAGAAGCTGTTATGTGGCAAGGAGGACAGGAGCCACCGGAGGGCACCCTGAGCCAGTTTTAACGAATGCTGCTTCTCAGACTTGTAGGACAGTTCTCCGTGTTTTTATTTATTTGAAGTAGCTGTAATTACTCTGCAAGATTTAGAGATGTACCGGAGTACTTAATTGCTCCTTTTCTGCCTTGACAAGATGCTTTCGGTTCTACACAAACAGCATCATCTTCAATGTATATATTGAAGACTCGGCAAGAAGTGATTCGTTGGACGTTAACCTCACAGACTTGCATCGAAGTGAGGAGTAGGAATTGACTGTGTTTAAGTGACAGATTCACACATTCATTAATGAGCAAGTCGGATGTTTGCAACACCTAACCAGCCTCTCTGGAAGCGGAAGAGCGACTGATCCTTTGTTTTGAAATAGGGAGGGAAGAAACGAAGCTTTGTTCACTGATGCCCACAGCACATTAAAGCAAACAGAACACTTGTGCTAGAAGGGTGATTCCACCCACCAGGTGTTCCCAGTCTCCTCCCAAAAGCTGCCAACAGAGAGGCAGTAACTTGAGGTGGATATGAAAACTCTCAGATACCTTTAACAGCTCTTCTATAGCTGTTAGCTGTTTTGCTTTTTAATAATGTGGGCCTGAAATTTCGGGTAAATCTACTGTTGAAATTCAAAAGAAATATCCACAAAATGAGCTCAGAGTAGAGAGAGGCAGCATGCCTGTGTAAGAGCAACTTACCATGTGCTTCACGGCAGACACAATCTGGGAGAAGATTATTTTACACTCTGTTTCTAGCAGCTTTCCTTCTGTACTGATTTTAGTGAAGAGCTCCCCACCTCCTGCATACTCCATCACCAGGTGCAGTTTTGAGAGTGTCTCCACCACTTCATACAGCCTGATGATATTTGGGTGGTGCAGCTTTTCCATGCTGGATATCTCACGAGACAGCAAACGTTGAGTCTTCCGGTCTAGCTTTGTCTTGTCCAAAATCTTAATTGCAACTTTCTCTGAGAAGAAAAACATTTTTCCATGTTGTTAATGTAACAGGTACAAAATGGTGATACCATTGACATACAATGATGCTTGGTTGTAGAAATGCAATAAAATTTCACCTCATCAGTATAAACTAAGCTGCAGGGGCCTACTAAGCCCTGCAGTCTCTCACACAAGCCCTGCCCCTTTCTGTCTACAACAACCTACACAGTGCTGGGGTAACTGAAGGCTGGTAGAGTACTCCAAGGGCTGATCAAATCATCTGCTGCCTTGATGTGCGTTGCTGTGACAGGCTTATATATGTCTGAAGGTACAGCATCTGCTTTTGGTGTTCACTGCTGGTAGAGAGTCTGTGCTTTTGTTGCTAGCTCAGAGCTCCTCACATGAGCCAGGTACTTGGAGACTAATGGAGGTGTGAAATCTGTGTGCTCCGTTTCCAACCAGGCAGAAAAACTTGTGGGGAATTTAGAGGCTTTGGCTATTTATTCTGAGCAGTGAAGTCAAGTAAGTCACAGGGATCCTGTAAGACAGCAAATCTAGCTGGCACATACTGCTCTGGTAATGCAAAGCTGCTGTTAAATACTACATGTTTCTGAAAGCCTACACAGAGAAGCCAAAGCAAAACACATATATATATATATCTGCAGCTGCATCACATCAGGGTAGCTCAGAGCAATATGAATAGTTAAAACACAGTTGCCCTTATGTTCCTGTTTTAGTCTGTAGGTTACAGCTTTTGTCTTTACTCTTCTGAACACAGCCAGTATTTGAAGGGTTTGTCTGGTTAAAACAGGTTTATGGTGGCTTTGTATAGCTTGTCAGGACAGCAAAATTAAAATGGATCATAGCAATAAAAACAACTATTTTTTCCCAGGAAGAAGGGATTCTTGGTTGTTCAGTTTTGGCTTTTTTTTCCCCTCAAGACTATCTCAGTCAAACAATCACACATTTCTTAATAATTTATCACTTTTAATAAATCTTTCAGAAAAAAACTTCACCTTGGTCTCTAGTAAATGGGAATAAATTAGGAAAAATGGTATTGTTCACTTGTTGCTGTAAGAAAAGAGAGAGAAGGCTATTGCATTTTTACACATATTCAGGTATAAAACCATTCAAGTTTTTACCGAATAGTATCAGGTTTTAACTCAAGTTTAGTATTTCAACATATATAAAGGAATGTTAAGGATACTTATGCATGTGTCTGTACAGATCAAGAAAACTCCATATTTGGTATATTTACATTTTTTAGTGTGATACATAAATCAATTGATCTCCCTACTGAAGTGCAGTAGATGCTTGAAGCACATGTGATTCTTGTGGTGGAAGGTGCTGAATTATCCCTTGATGTGCCTGTTTTTAGGAGTCTGTGCTGAATTCAGGGCAGTTATCCTGGTCACACTGCTTCTCTCGGAGCTGAGGCAGAGCCCCTCAGAGAAGCAGCTACCTCCTGTGTGGAGCTGGGTGAACCAGGAGGAAATGCAGCTACTGACAGTGACTGCTGACCTAGTGAAAGCACATAGATCTCCCAAACCCAGAGGAAGGAGCATCAGCTTGCAGTAGGTTATGTTTGCACAACTAAATGCTTACAACATTTACAGTCTTAACCATCCACAGTGGAGACATTTGGGCTTTTAAAATAAAATCTTCTAGGTTCATTTTTCCCCCTGTCTTTTTGCTCTACTTTTCCTCCTGGTAAGTCTTCCTGCTACATTTTAAAAGGAAAGAGGAGAGGAAAAAAAGATTTTGAATTGAAGAGCTTGATCCTACTGCAACACCACCATAAATCAGGACAAACTCCTTTAAATCTATATCGTTACAGCTGCAAATGCATTCCATGCAAAGAAACCTGACACCTTCCTTTTATTCTCTAAACTCTTCCTTTCGGCTTTCAAAGAATGCTTGTTTACAAATCCTCTATTATTCTTGCTTAGCAGCTGTGCTGAACAGGACATTTTTAGCAGGCAGCTTATTTACCAAAATAATTACAAAAAGAGTTGGAAGAGATTTTGATTGACTATATGCAGTGTATGAGGTTTGAAAAGTGCTAGACAAAATCTTAGTAATAAAAACTAGGAAAAAGTTGGGAAATACCAATTTCAGGAAGAAATAGTGTATGATGTGATGGCAGAAGGAAAAAATATACAAACAAAACCAAGTTAAAATTGCTTTAAAAAAAAGGCAAACCGGGTGCCTGGACATTCCTGCTTTTGCAATTTGTGTCACATTAGACAGACTTCTTACTAGCTATAAATTTTGTATGCCCGTAATTGCTTCCATTCAGCTGTGATATCACACTTCCTTTGTCAGATGGAAGGCATGTAAAATAAAAGTTATACAGGGCTTAGGAATTTAACGGTCCTTAGCAAGAAACGCCATGAATTTCTGGAGCAAATCTCTGCCAAAATTCAGGTTAATATAGTGGGCAAAGCCCCTGAATAACACAACATATACAGAAACATAAATCAGAAAAGACCTCTAAGATCATGAAGTCCAACCTGTCAGGCCCACCACTAAACATTGTCCCTAAATGGCACATCTACATGTCTTTTAAGTATCGACAGGGATTCATTCCAAGGCCTGATCACCCCTGTGGTACAGAAATTTTTCCTAATGTCCAATCGAAACATCAACCTTTCCTGGTTCAACAAGGTACAACTGGAATAGCTGAGAATAGGGAGTGGTGCTGAATGGCGTTATATCCATCTGGGGCTAGTCACTATTAGAGTTCCACAGGGCTCAGTACTGGGGACAGCCCTGATTAATGTCACTCAGTTTGCAGGTGAGTGACACCTCTCCTGGTACAATTTGAGGCCATTTCCTCTTACTCTGTCCCTTGTTACGTGGGAGAGAAGAGGCCAACCCCCACCTGGCCACAGCCTCCTGTCAGGCAGCTGTAGAGAGCGATACGGTCCCCCCGAGCCTCCTTTTCCTCAGGACAAGCACCCCCAGCTCCCTCAGCTGCTCCTCACAGCACTTGTGCCCCAGACCCTGCCCCAGCTCCATTGCCCTTCTCTGGACTCTCTCCAGCCCCTCAGGGCCTTTCCTGCAGTGAGGGCCCAGCCCTGGACACAGCACTGGAGGTGTGGCCTCAGCAGGGCCCAGCACAGGGGGACAATCCCTGCCCTGGCCCTGCTGGCCACAGCATTGCTGATCCAGGCCAGGATGCCATTGGCCTTCTTGGCCACCTGGGCACAGCCTGGCTCATGTTCAGCTGCTGTCACCAGCACCCCCAGGTCCTTTCCAGCCACTCTGCCCCAGCCTGTGGAGCTGCCTGGGGCTGTTGTGACCCAAGGGCAGGACCTGGCACTGGGCCTTGTTGAACCTCACACCACTGGCCTCAGCCATGACCCAGCCTGCCCAGATCCCTCTGCAGAGCCTCCCTGCCCTCCAGCAGAACAACACTCCCACCTGATGTGCTGTCACCTGCAAACTGAGTGACATTAATCAGGGCTGTCCCCAGTACTGAGCCTTGTGGAACTCTGCTGGTGACTAGCTCCAGATGGATAGCTCCATTCAGCACCCTCCCTATTTCCAGCTAGCCAGACAGCTTTTTATCCAGTGAAGAGTGCACCTGTCCAAGCCATGGGACATGGCATCCACATCACAGCCCTAAAGATTTTTTCTGTGTTTTCTAAACAACCAAGACAGCCCTTGTGAGGGAAACAAGGCTCACCATCCAGTATGATCCTGAAGTTTTTTCATCTCTCTCTCTCTCTAGAAATCATGTGTCCTGCTACAACAGATCACAAAGGCAAGAGAAAAACATATGTAATTTTTACAAAGGCTCATCTTTGTAAAAAACCAAAACTGTTTCCTCTTTTGATATAGGATGATACAGGAGAGAGACCATATTAAAACTGGCAGTAACTGAAGAGCTGAACAGCCCTCGGACACATACACCACCTTCTTCTACAGAGACCAGACCAGCATTAATGATGAAGCCTTTTATTTATATAACCAGATTTAAAAAAAAAAAAAAAAAAAAAAAAGACTAGCGCTCATTAATACTGCACAGAAACATAATTTCACACAGATAAACTCATAGGCAGAATGAGTCAGAAAACATTTATCTTTCATTCTTCTTTCCTCATGAGAGTTGCAAACTTAACATCAATAATCAGCTTCCTTTCTCCCTTTTAACCAAAAAGTTATAGACAAACAAAAGAAAAATAATTTGAGAGATTTCTGTTGAAAAATAACCTCTTCCAGAAAAAGAAAAAGTACAGTTTTGGTTTTGGTATTTAGCTTACTGTATTCACTGAAGTTCAAAAATTTTCAACCAGCTCTGTTTAGATACTAAAGGAACCTGTTTCATAAGTAAGTTCAGCAAAGGGTTAATCCAGATCAAATTTCTAACTGCCTTTCATTAGCATTCCTTATGTTCCCAGTACAGGAGCAGCATTTTTCCCAACAGTAAGTACAAAACAGTTACCTCGGGAAGAAAAAGAAATATCACAGAAGAGGAAACAATTTGTGAACCAAGTAGAAAAGAGATGCTTTTCTGAAACAAGAATAACCAAAAACTCAAAACCCAGTTAAAGCAACCCTTGGGTGTTGACAGGCTTCAATGTGAAAAATTAAGTACCATCGGTTCTCCACTTAGATTCCCAGTGTAACAACCACTGCCCCCAAGGGATAATTGTGACCTTTCACCCCTCTCAGATCTGGGCTGAAAAAAAATAACAATAGATAACACAGTTTTGGGGCATATCTCATTCTCTCACCTGTAAGACGATGAAGGGAAGGAGAGTCAATCAAACTGAAAAGCAAAGACTCTTAGAAGAAAAGCAAGATAGTAGTGTACAAAGATACAGAGAAAACTAGCCACTCTGACAGAAAACAACAATTTCTATTATTGTCAGACAAAGGCAGAAGATGTAACAGGACAGCTGATGACAAGTTCTTAGTTATACCTATGACTGAAGTGTCCACTGCAGTTACCTAGCCCTTCCAGTCCTTCCTAGAAGCAGTAGATAGTAGATTTTGTTTTAGACAGCAGCTAAAACAATAAAACTAACTGACAATTCAACACAAACACCAGTTTGGTGATACCAGAGCTTGTTCCCCTGCACCTGTTCCTCCCACACCTATAGCTAGTTTCTCTCACACCTATAGCTCCCATCCTAGCTTTTTACAGTAAAGAGACATCAGCAAATGAGTCAGTTAAGTGGGCATTTCTCACCAAAATTACCATGGCCAAATAAAATATTTTGTCCATACTAGTAAAATTTGTGATGAAACAAAGGAAGCCTTGCTGCCTCTGGCTGCAGGCAGGAGCATACCTAACCTGCTATCCTGGGCATTCATCACCTGCATCCCGGCAGGCCAGGAGCTGGGGCAAGGAAGAGGGTGGATGGACAGGGAAGGTTACAGCAGGGGAGGCCCAATACCACACTTCAAAGTGTGGAGTGTCTGAGCCACAGGATGTGTTAACTCCATGAAGTGCAGTGACGAACTACACCTGTAACAGCTGCCATGTAGAGAAAACCTTTCTAGTTTCTTTAAAGCAGAATCCAGCCCTGAGGATTTATGTGTGACCCTGTCTATAGATTAACTCAAAAATGTTAAAAACACACACACATACACACACAGACACACACACACACAAACTCTATATGTGTATTTAAGGTTCATAGAGCCTCTTTCTTCCCATAGGAAGCCATTTATATAGGTCACTCAGCATGCAATGGCGCCTACCTTTGGTTAGGGAATGAATTCCAAGCTTCACTTGTGAGAAATTCCCACTTCCTATTTCTCCTCTGACTCGATAGAAGGCAATTCTCTTTCCCAGTGTTAATTCTTTCACCACCTTTTCATTATGAGACATATCCTGCATCAGTTTCTCAAATGGGGTCAGCCTGTGCTGTTTGCCCTCTTCATCTCCTTCGTGGCACTCTGGGCGCCCATCATCGTCTCTGCTGTCCTCGTGATGCCACCTGGAACAGCGGTATTTTCCAAGACTTCCTTCATTCACATATCCTGTTGTCATAGTCTACAGGGTGATCACTTCCCCATTTAACAAGATGTCCTGAGAAGTTTAAATGAAATAATTCTATATGAATATGCAAGCCCTGCACATTATGGACACTGCGGCAAATGCAGCAAAAAAAAAAAAAAAATAAAATAGCAGCTTACAGAAAGTCCAAAGATTAGTTTGGAAATTTGTTCAAAAACAAATCTGGCACATCTACATATTGCATGTCCTGTTCAAAATCAGAGCTAAAACATCCATTCCTCACTAACAGAGTTAGTGTCTGAGGATCTTCAGCTGCAAGGTAAAAGAGGCTTTGCAATTAAAACTGCAAACTTTGTGCAAGAAAGTGGCAAGGTGCTCGCTGTCTATGCAGTACATTTGACACATGCAAAATATGTGACACAAATATTCAGATTTTAGCTTGATCCTTTGAGAACTAACTTGATAGATAAAGGTCAAACAGAAAGCTGATTAACTGCTCTGAATAAACCGAGAAACTTCTAGCTAATTTTGAATAGCTGACCTTAAGAGCGTCGTTCTCCTTGATTCTGGTAAAAGTCCAAAAGCTGACTGTAGGGATTGCCTTTGATTCATTCTTCAGCCTGTGAGCTTGTCACTGTACCTTGGAAATATCACTGTGTGTGGAAGCCTTGCTGTAAAAAGTACGCTGCCCCTCTGTTTCTTTCCCATGGTGTGTTCAACAAAGCAACTGATTCTGGAAGATGACAGGAAAAGCATAATCTGTGCACCAGGCAAAAGAAATGCTGCGCCTCAGTATCCCTGCAGTCACATGGCAGGACAATACAGGATTAAGTAACTGCAATGTCACGTTAACCCTCCTTTATTTAGATGAGCTTTCTTTAACGCCTTGAGCCTTCTCAAAATTTTGCCAGACGCATGGTGTTCCTGAGCAGACAGATGAAGAAAGTAATTAAAACCTTTACATAACAGCTTCACTGAATGACAGCATGACCTGTACCATTTCACCAGTTTAACTCTGGCAGCACAGACACAGAAGTACTTACCCTAAATACACAAGCAACCACTTACCTTTAAAACAGCAGACCAATTTTTTCTTCTTTACCTTTCTCTTTTAATCTTGAAAGCCAGGAGTTGATCAGCAAGTGCTGATCCTGCAGCTGCATGCCTGAGGGTGGTGAGCTGGGCACGAGAGCTGAGACAGCTCAGGCAGTGGCAGCGCTCACCTCCCCTGCTCCCAGCCTGCAGCATACACGACTGCCAGGACAGATGCACCAGATTGAGGGGGAGTGAGTCAGACCAGTAACTCACTGCCTGAAGCTTAGCTAGACAGTCACCTAAGGTGCCACACTAGCAGAGGGCATGTGGCATTTGCCAGGTGGAGCTGCCCTCTAAACCCCACAATCTCCTTCGTAAGCAAGAGGAAGAGAGGTCAGAGGCACGACCTAAATGCAAAGAAAAAGCAGCTGGTGATGGTTTCATTAAATGGGAACTTGAGTGGCACAGAGGCACTCATCAGCTCCTACAGAGAGGCCAAGGTGACTGACCTATGCTCTGGGACACTGCTCCCTGCCTTGAGACACACTGAAGAAATTTTGAAAGCCACTTTACCTCTCTGTGCTGCAGCCACGTTGCAGGAAGACAAACCTGCTCCAGGGTGAGGCAGAAAGCCTGGCTTTCCCTCAGAGTCTGTGACTCTCTCTGTCACTTCTCTGAACCAGGGACACTTCTTACTGTGTGTGCTGCAAACTTAATGGCTGATGCAGGTTGTAACTGGAAGAGAGGGAGAATTTACTACTTCCATAATGCCTTTGTTAACTCTTTTTGGCTTACTCATTTTTGAAGGAAAGAGCCCTTTTCATTGTTGACAGAAACTAAAAATAATAAACGCATAATTATATTATTTTCTGGAGCTAAATAGAGTGAAACCCCTGACAAACACTATATGTGCGCATACAGCTAATGGCTAGATCCTGATACTGTTACTAGGTAAGAGACCAAGTGACAAATAAGAAAATCCTTCAGTATTCTCTCACCAAACCACTCTTTCTTAGCACCAAATACTCTCCCTAATTTTATTATTTTATACCTTGGAAGAAAAAAAAATCTGTGTGGAAGGACACCCCATCCCCATGCAAACAGAAAAAACCCAAACCCCACACCTTACACTCTGTTTTTCCTCCATTTGGGAAAAGGACAATTTCTTTCAGGAGTGTCAGAATTCTGACCCACAGGTTTTCCGCTTTAACCTGTTTCACATCACAATCATAAAAGTATTCTAGGTAATAAAAAACTCTTTATATGAAACTTGACTGTATTTCACAGTTTTAACGGTGGGTGACACTCTAACAGAGCAGGGCTTTTGGAAGTCACTTGTGTGCTGTACAGTTCCACAGCAATTCAGGGGCAGAATTCTGGCCCCATTCTGCCCTTTGACCTTGAGAACAGCAGCACAGGTTGTACATGCAGAAAGTCTGGAAACCTCCATGAGCAGTATCAGGCATGCCATGTACAAACTCTATTATTTAATCAAGTTTTTTTAGTTGAGTGGTGACATCCTCACCACCAAAGAATAGCTGTAACTTACGGCTATAACCTCCTGAGTGGCAGGTATGGACAATTTTGCTCCTGCAAAAAAAGAAACACAGAACTACCACCATCTTCTGCAAAAATTATCAGTGCCCTTGCAGTTAACTGGCTGTACAGAAAAGGCTGACTGTGCAACAAGAAGGGTTTCCTTCAAACAGACTTGTGTAGACAAGCCCCTCCTGAATACATTCCATTAAGGCACAGAAGGCAGCTAGCCCAGTTGATGTGGATCACAGAGACAAATCACATGGGAATGCCACAACCTTGTGGGGACAGAGGAGCCAAGAGAAAGGCAAAACTGCACTGAGGCATCAGCACATGGCTCTTCCTGAATTTGCTCCTGGGGTTCAACATGCTGTTTTTCAGAGCACTGCCTATCATTAATCTCCCTTTCAGGCTTGACATGTAACTGCCAACCCTGCAACCTCCTGGCACTTGGCCAGCTGGCTAGGTTTTCCCTGTCTTCTGAGACGAGCTTATTTCAGTATTCCTGGTGCTAGCAGTATATCTACCATCTATTTGTGGCCTACATTCCTTCCTGTAATCAAACCCAGCAAAATCTATCCTGATGTCATACAAAAGGACACTGACTGTAAAAGAAAATAATTCTAAGAGAGAAGGGAAAAATAAGGAAGTCAGGAGTGATCCAAACACAATGAAAGACGAATGATTTTTTTTTCCTCCAGTCTGGCTGACCAGTGAGAAGAACTTCACAAAAATTTATCTGACCAAATAATCACTTTAAAAAATAAAATTAGCAATGAAAAGAAAATCAAAGCCAAAAGCAAACCACTATAAAAAACATTACAAGACAGTGAACGAATGTATTAATCCTTTAAGACCTAACACTGATGTTGTTTAGCCTTGTTTTTTAAACTGACATTCTCCTCCTATTCTACGAAGTGCTGAGTACCCTCAGGCTTCACCTGCAGACTCAGTTTAAACCCCACATCACAACTCTAAGGAAGTTCAGAATGAGGAGAAAAAGAATTAAACCAAAAAAGAGATCATTTGGTACAGGGAGTTTGGTTCCTAAAATCCCATTTTGACAGATAGATAAAAAGTGACCTGGTTTTAAGAAGCTTAGAATGGAGCACATGAAAGCACAGAAACAGCTAGACCAGAGCTCTCTGATGGCACTGTGTTTGGCAAATTGGTCTCTCTCATTAAATCTGTCTTTCAGAGGCAAAAATCCACTCAACTTTGAGTGCTTAAACTGCTGCAGCTCCTATTAGAGTGAATGTGAAGGAAGTTACACTGGAAGGTCTCCTCCCACTCAAACTGTCACAATACCAGGTGTTTTTAATGAGGATGTCACTGGATATTGCAACTCATTCACTAGAGTTCCCTTTTCAGCCTCTCTGCTGTCTAGTATGAGGAGATGGGGATTTTTAAGGTATTTCCCTAGGGTAGGGGATTAGTCAATTTTTTTAAAATTTCCTTGAAGAACAGCATGTCTCCTGCTCAGTAGATTATATGCACCATGCACCAGCTCTGGATCAAAACTGATTTAAAATAGCACGGATATTTTTTTTTTTTAAACTCATCTGCTAAAAAAATATCAAGCCCATTTTTTTAGTCACAGCTTTGAATGTTCAACTGTTGCAAGAAAACATCAAAAACTTGGTATACTCCTCTGTATAGAAGACCTATCTTTTACAAAAGATTAGAGGCCAGCAGAACAGTCCTGCAATATCTGTAGCATAGACCACAGGTGACACAAAAGCGCTGCTCTGCAGACAGACTCCACAGGGAAAGTAACAGCTCAGCTTCTGTGCTTATGCTCAAGTAACATTGACTGCATGGCTGCTGTGGCCAAAGGAAGTCAACATCTGTTCAAGGTTTGTCTTGGGCACATTTTTTTTTTGTTTTACATGAGAAGCACTCTCAGTCTTATTTCTGTGAATGCCAGAAAACAGAATGACTATATAAAATACACCTCAGAGTTTCACATGAATTTTTAAAAAAAACCCCAAAACCCAAGTATTCAAAATGCAAAATACAGCATGGTTACAGGATGAACACAGACCTCTGTGTTCCCAGCTCACATAGGAGAAAATACTAACAGGGCACTGACCATGGAGAACCTCCAGAAACTCCCTGCTCTATCTGCCCAGGCCCACATGCCACCCATTTCCATGCATCCCAAAACTACTCCTGTTAGCGGGCACAGCATTCAGTTTGCCAGTTATTGTTTGATGAAAACCAGACATGAAGAACATCATTCTTATCAGCTTCCTGCTGTGCCTGGGAGTGCTTTGATAACAGCCACAGCCAGGGCATCACTGCCAGCTCTGTGTGCTGCACTGGACAGGCTGCAGCTCCAGTGTGAACTCGAGCTAAAGAGACTGTGACCCATGGATGCTGGAAGCATGGTGGTACCTCCCAGAGTGGCTCTGGCTGTGTTTGTGACTGTGCCACAGCAGGTACACCTCTGGAGAGCAATTATGGCCCATGCAGGCCATGCTGGAGCAGGTGCACCTCAAAGGACTGAATAAACCTATGCTGCAGTAGGTATAGCCCTGAGGA